ATTTGTTCCATTTCATCCCCTAAATATTAACCGATATTTTCAAAAAAACAATAGGGGTCTTCATTGGTCAGAACCCAACCTACATGCAAAATTTCGTGAAGATTGGTCCATAACTGTGGCCTGTATCGTGTTTACAAATTATAATGGACAGACGGACGGACACACATGTCTAGATCGACTCAGCTAGTCGAGATATGACGATCGGTATGCTTGAAGGTGGGTCTAGGACCAATATTTCGCGGCGTTACAAACTCTTGGGGCTGCACAAAGCTATAATACCCTTACAACATAGTTGTATAGGGTATAATTATTAATATTGAACCAAGTTTAAGTGTAGTCCCCATATAACCAAAATCGGCTTGGCCGAGCCATGAGAAACCAAAAAATATCCAGTAAGAAAATCATCTAAATCTAACTATGACTTAATTTATAGGTTTCATCATTGGGTGAGTTAAATTCTAAATATATCCTCAAAAAAATATAAGTCTATCTGGTTTCTCTTTGCATGTTAGTTTGTGGACCTACGGGCATCTATTCAATATTATCTAGGATGTAGTATTTTCACGAAACCGAAATCGGCAATTGTTAGGGAACTTAAAAATCTATTAATGGGAGTGTATACGCTTTAAAGAACTCAGTTTCAGATAATTTGGGGTCGATTTAGGAATGGCCTGAATCGTCTGGTTCGCTTGTTAACTTTTAAAGGAAATAAGCGATTTCATTTAAACTTTATATTGGTAAAATGTAAATTATTTCAATTAAACTCCTAAATTTGTCGGCATGTAGAGTACAATATCAACCTCTTCTAACATTGTTCTATCTTCCCTTTTATCCACCTACTTTGGGTGAATTATTTTCACACCATTTGCAAATTTCCCCTATACTCGCTCTAGTATCAAAACCATACCATGACAGTGAATAACTACTACAACTATAAACATTCTTACCGCACTACACACTGCAGATGCATCCTTCTCTGGAGTTCTACGAGTTTATAGTATATTTGCAACTAGTTTAGATTAATGTCATCGATATCGACATAAAAGACAAATTTCGCAATTTTTATTGCAGCAAGAAATTGCAAAATAGTTACTAACTATAAAATATATAGAGAGAGAGAGCACAAAGGAAGTGCATTTTATGGTAATGTGTATGTATTAAGGAGGGTAAGTTTAGCGAGGTAGTTGGTTAGATGACACATTTTAGGGTTATCAATGAATTTAGTGGTAGTGGTTTTATATAGAAACTTTTATTTTGTACTTTGATGTTAGTCAATGAATAATACTTCGGTTGTGCAAAATTGTTACTGATCTTTAGTGTAAAATTATAAATGTCGATCAATTAGCTGAGTCAGCAATGCTTATATACATATGTATAATCAGAATTGGCGCAATTTGACCCAAATAAAATTATATATAATAATGACTACAATATTATTAATTCAAATGAGAAATATGAAGAAATAATCTCACTGATGAAACATCAGTGCTTTTTAAGATTTTAAAAATTATCGTCATCAACGTATAATTAAAACCAGTAAGGAAAGTATATTTAACAGAGCTAATATATACAGTCTCCATCGAATAATCGGACAAGTTGTTGTGAGACATAAATTAATGCTATACATTCCAAAAAAAATTGTCTAAATGTGTATTTTTTTCGATTTTATTTACACATTACTTACTTATATTTCTGAACAATACAAAAAACAACAACTTTTCTAGTGATACCGTAAATTTCTACAAAGCAAAGTATTAATGTTAAAAAATGCAAAAAATCCTTTCACCACTTTGGGTATATTTAACAGAGCTATGCTATATATATATATATATATAGGAGCCATATGTAAATCTGAACCAATTTCAAGAAAATTTGACACACGAAAGGTTATAGTATCTTCAGTACGTTGTACAAAATTGTGTGCGGGTCGGCCAATCTTTGGGTCTTTAGTGCACAATTTACATTAAATCGGACGAAAATATATATTGGAGCTATATCTAAATCTAACCCGATATTCACGATACTTAGCACACATGATTCTGGACCCAATTCAGTACCATATTCCAAATTTCGTGCACATCGAAAGACATATAGGGACATTGCAGATCCATTTACCTTAAATCGGGCGAAAATATATATAAATATATAAATCTCGCCCGATTTCACCGAAACTTGGCACAGGTCATTCTTGACCTAATTCAGTACTTTTTGCCAAATTTTGTGCCAATCGAATGACATCTAGGGACTTTGGTGCACCATTTACCTTAAATCGGACGAAACTGTATATGGGAGCTATATCTAAATCTGAACCGATTTTCTCGAAACTTAGCACACATCATTCTGGACCTAGTTCAGTACTCTATGCCAAATTTCGTGCAAATCAAATGATATATAGGGACTTTGGTGCTCCATTTACCTTAAATCGGGCGAAACTATATATGGGAGCTATATCTAAATCTGAACCGATTTTCTCGAAACTTTGCACACATCATTCTGGACCTAATTCAGTACTCTGTGCCAAATTTCGTCCAAATCGAAAAATATATAGAGACTTTGGTGTCCCATTTACCTTAAATCGGACGAAAATATATATGGTAGCTATATCTAAATCTAAACCGATTTTTCCCAATTTCAATAAGGTTCGTTCTTGGGCCGAATAAGTGACTTGTGCCAAATTTCATCCAAATCGGATCATAAATGCAACCTGTACTTTGTTTACAATTTAACATCTACAGACGGACAGACGGACGGACATGCATAAATCGACTCAGAAAGTGATTCTATGCATATTCTCAAAAGGAACCATGTGTCTATCTCGTTTCCTTTTGCCTGTTACAAACATATGCACAAAGACATAATACCCTGTACCACAGTGTGGTGAAGGGTATAAAAAACGTGTTCTGTACGATCATACAATTACATTTCTTATCTACAAACATTTAATAAAATGATCTCAGGTACGATGTAATTTGTATGAAGCTCAACATGCAATTTAAAAATAATTTTTTTTAATTATTTTTTAAAGACCTATAAACAAAGTGCAAATTGTCATAAAATATTCTCATAATAACCAATTAATTAAATATTTCAAAAGTTAATATTTAAGCGGTTAACAAAAACAAGTTTTGTTGTTGTTATACCCTTCACCACACTCTGGTACAGGGTATTATGTCTTTGTGCATATGTTTGTAACAGGCAAAAGGAAACGAGATAGACACATGGTTCCTTTTGAGAATATGCATAGAATCACTTTCAAAGTCGATTTATGCATGTCCGTCCGTCTGTCCATGCATTTTTGTGAGTAAAGTACAGGTCGCATTTATGATCCGAATTGGATGAAATTTGGCACAGCTCATTTATTTGGCCCAAGGACGAACCCTATTGAAATTGGGAAAAATAGGTTCAGATTTAGATATAGCTCCCATATATATATTTAACCGATTTAATGTAAACGGTCCCTATATATCTTTCGATTTGCACGAAATTTGGTACAGCCTAATCATTTAGGTCTAGAATGATGTCTGCCAAGTTTCGTGAAAATCGGTCAAGATTTAGATATAGCTTCCATATATAGTTTCGTCCGATTTCATGTATATGGTGCCCCAAAGTCCCTATATATCTTTCAATTTGCACGAATTTTGGCATAACGTATTGAATTAAGCCTAGAATGATGTCTGCCAAGTTTTGAGAAAATCGGTTCAGATTTAGATATAAATCCCATATATAGTTTCGTCCGATTTCATGTAAATGGTGCCTCAAAGTCCCTATATATCTTTCGATTTGCACGAAATTTTGCATATCATACTGAACTAAGCCAAGAGTGTTGTCTGCCAAGTTTCGAGAAGATCGGTCTAGATTTAGATATAGCTCCCATATATAGTTTCGTCCGATTTCATATAAATGGTGCCCCAAAGTCCCTATATATCTTTCGATTTGCACGAAATTTGGCATAACGTACTGAATTGAGCCTAAAATGATGTCTGCCAAGGTTTGAGAAAATCGGTTCAGATTTAGATATACCTCCCATATATAGTTTCGTCCGATTTCATGTAAATGGTGCCCCCAAAGTCCCTATATATCTTTCGATTTGCACGAAAATTGGAATATCGTACTGAATTAAGCCTAGAGTGATGTCTGCCAAGTTTCGAGAAAATCGGTCCAGATTTAGTAAATTTAAATGGTGCCATAAAGTCCCTATATGTCTTTCGATTTGCACGAAATTTGGCATAACGTAATTGAGCCTAGAGTGATGTCTGCCAAGTTTCGAGACAATCGTCCGATTTCGTCCGATTTCATGTAAATAGTGCACCAAAGTCACTATATATCTTTCGAAATTTGGCATAACGTACTGAATTGAGCCTAGAGTGATGTCTGCCTTGTTTCATGAAAATCGGTCCAGATTTAGATATAGCTCCCTTTTATTATAGAATTTGACGCACCAAGGAACCAGTGGACTGATAGGAACAAAACGTTCTGAAATTAGTATAACCTAACCTGTGACAAGTTTGTTTGAAATCGCTTAATATTTGGATAGAGCTTTCATATATATTTTCGCCCGATTTCAAGTAAATTGGGCATCAAACTCCTCAGTTAACCAGATTGACATCAAATTTTGCACAACTTACTAAATTGAGCATAGAATTACGTAGTTGCGATTTGTAGAAGTACAGACATAGCCCAACGGATGACCTATTTAGATTTGTTTGAAGTCGATTTACATACTTTATGGATAGATCTAGGTAGATTCACATTTAGATAAATATCACATATTTTATTTCATCCAATTTCATGTTAATAGTCCTCTTTAATATACCTATAGTGGTGAAGGGTATCATATAGTCGGCCCCGTCCGACTTTACTACTTTCCTTACTGGTTTTTATATTCTCGTAGTTCAAACTTATGTTAATTCCAATACCAATTTTTACACTGTTAGTCTCTAATCGGCAGTACTTGAAATCGGTGTTGCAAAACGGAAATCGGCGAATACAAAACAACAACAATGTTAACGATTATATTTGACATAATTCAATACATATTGACCTCACTGATATTGATAAGTGTAACCGGACTTATAATATATTTTGTAAAATTTAAACATATGATTGATGTGACTCGCAATATACCTAGTCCACCTTCAACGCCCATATTAGGACACAGTTTAATATTTAATCGTTTGCAGCCACATGAACATGCCGAATTTTATTTGAATTTAGTTGCTACGTATGGTAAAACTTTTAAATTTTTGTTGGGCCCAAAACTATTTATCGTCCTAACGGAGCCAAATGATGTCGAAGTGATACTCAACGATATCCGTTTTATTGAAAAATCGGAAGTTTATTCTGTACTGGAACCATGGTTTAAAGAGGGGCTTATGAATAGCCCCGGACATAAATGGCAAAAACGTAGAAAAATATTGACGCAAGCTTTTCACTTTCGTATTTTAAAGGAATTTGTGGAAATATTTGATCAACAGTCGCGAATATTTGTGGAGAATCTTTGGAAAGAATATCAACGGCAGGGAGATGATGGAATTGATTTACATAAATGGTTAGATATGTGGGCATTGGATGTGTTGTGTGGTATGTATGAAGGGATTTGATGACATTGATATTATTTTTGAGATTGTTTATTATCATTTCAGAATCTTCAATGGGTGTCTCAATAAATGCCCAGACGAAAGCCGGTTGTGAATATCTTCGAGCTGTAAAAATGTAAGTTGAAGCTTACAAAATGAGCATATAGATGTTCTAAAAAGCTTCTCAGTTTATCAACAAATACAATACCGCAATGATCTTATGAAAATTGCATGTCTATTATAGCCGAAGAATAGATTTTGGTAGCAATTCGTATAACTGACCAACATTTTTGGGGAAAAAATTACAAATATTAGGAAATTGTTCTAAGATGTTAAGCCGGTTCGAACTACCAGGATAATGCAGCGAATGACGCCGGAAAGTGACCAATGTGTCAAAATGATTAGAAAAAACTCCTGGACCGGTCGAAAATATATATGGGCTATGTCTGCATTTCTACAAAACACAGATACGTCATTGTATGCTCAATTTTGTACGTTGTGCAAAATTTCTTGTCGATCTGAAAAATATTAAAAGTTTCAACGAATCTTAGTTAGGTTATACTAAATTCGGTACGTTTTGTGCCTTTCGGCCATATTGTGGGTCCTTGTTGCATAATTTACTTCAAATCGGACGAAAATATATATGGCATCTATATCCAAATCTAAACCGATTTTAATGAAACTTGCCACACGTTCGTCTATATTAAAATCAATACGTTGTGCAAAATATTGTGCCTATCTACAATATTTTGGCTTCTTAGAGCATTATTTACTTAAAATCGGAAGAAAATATGTATGGGAGCTGAACCCAATTCTGAACCGATTTCAACAAAAGTATACACATGTTAGACTACACTAACTTCAGTACGTTGTGCAAAATTTCGTGGTAATCTGCCTAATTTTGGGTCTTTGGTGTGATCGAAACTATATCTAAATATGAACCGATTTAAACGAAACTTGATATACGTTATGTTATACTTCAAAATTTTGTGCCAATCGGCTTATCTTTGAGTGTTTGGTGCCCCACTTACTTAAAATCGGAAAATCGGAATCTATATATGGAAGCTTTTCCCAATTTCAATAGGGTTTGTTCTTGGGTCAAATAATCTAATTTATATAATTTAGTTCCCTTGTACAAAAACGACCCTATACCTGCCCTAATGAAATGGAATTTTATATAGATTGTCCAAGACATGTGTATGGATGGATTTAAGTGGGTTCACATATAAATACAGATCTCAATTTAATTTAGTTCAATTTCATGTCAAAAGTCCTATAAAAATGCGACGTCAAAGTGGTAAAGGGCACGTCAAAGTGGTAAAGGGTCGGACTTTACTACCTTCCTTACTGGTTTTTCGTTATTTTTGCCAAAAGAAATTTGTTGAGTGAGGACTTGAGAACCATGGTAAGGACTCGGCAACTTAGCCAGAAAAACTTGTTGAGGTGCACAGGGATCAACAAGTCTCCGTTCAAACATTTAGGAGTGAGAATTTGGTAGTTGGAGGCGCCATTCTGACCTCGTCCGTTCTGGGATCATTCATGGTGTTCCCCGTAGGCGGATTTTCTATTCATACATACACATGCAATATGTTTTGAATAGAAAACAAGTGAAAAAGCGTTAAGTTCGGCCGGGCCGAACTTTGGATACCCTCCACCATAGATATACTGGCAGGTACTTGAAATTAAAATATAGGGAACATACCAAAAAATTTACCTATATCGACATTTCTACAAACCGATTATGTAAGCAATAATATAAACAATAAGTTTTTATAGAAAATTATACCCTCAGCCTTATGGCTAATTAGGATGTATACACTTTCACACGGTGAAAATGTGCCTCATCGAAATATTGGTTCTAGACCCCATGTTCCCCATCTTTCATCCCATCTTATTATTTCTTCCAAACTTAGTTCAAGGCCGCATTTGGGGAATATCGGTCCATTGCTTTCGGTAAATCCCACACAGGGGCTACGGCTAAGCCAAAATGCGGGCTATAGTTCACATATACGTTCTAGTTTTTTATCTCGATATCCTTCGCAGGTGAAATGATTACAACAGAGTGTTAGAACCAAACCCAAAACGCGGAAAAATCATAATTATTTTAAAATAAAAAATGGGGTTATATGGGGACTACCCCTAAAAGGGGTTGACTATTAATAATTTTTGGTAGGGAGATTTGTTACCATATACCGAATTTCAGTGAATTCGGTTGAAAAACGCGCTCAAGGACCTCAAAATACAAAAATTTTTATGGAGATATTTGGTATCCCTTATACCAAATTTCAGGGAAAAACGCGCTCAAGAACTTTGGGGGTACCAGAAAAAATGGACTTATATTTATAATTTTTAGTGGAGATATTTGATACCCAATAAGAACACAATGTACCAAATTTCAGCAAATTCGGATGAAAAACGCGCTCAAGAACCCCAAAATACCGAAATTTGAGGGTACCCTTATATGGGAGCTACCAGAAAAATGGACTTATATTTATAACTTTTTGTGGAGATATTTGGTACCTAATAAGAACCCAATGTACCAAATTTCAGCGAATTCGGTCGAAAAATGCGCTCAAGAACCCTAAAATGCCGAAAATCGGGGGGTACCCTTATATGGGGCTCTCTGAAAATGTACTCAAAATACTAAACAACAGCCAATTCGATGGAAAAATATGATCAAAATCCCCAAAATACTGCAAATTAGAGGGTACCCTTATATGGGGGCTACCAGAAAAAGTGGACCTATATGTATACTTTTTTGTGTATAATTTTATTGGGTTCCAAATAAGAACCCATTGTAGCAAATTTCAGCGAATTCGGTAGAAAAACGTGCTCAAGAACCCCAACATACCGAAAATTGGTGGGTACCCTTATATGGGAGCTATGCCTAAACGTGGACCGATATATCCCATCTTCGAACTTGACCTGCCTGCAGACAAAAGACAACCTTATTCAAAATTTCAGCACCCTATCTCAATTCCTTCGGAAGATAGCGTGATTACAACAGATGGACAGACGGACTGACATGGCTACATCGTCTTAGAATTTTACCCTGATCAAGAATATATATATATACTTTATAGGGTCGGAAATTAATATTTCGATGTGTTACAAACGGAATGGCAAATTTAATATACCCTCCATACTATGGTGGAGGGTATAAAAACAAACCCTATTGGTCTGGTTTATGTTATCTACCTATAGACAATATACCATCTGTTTGAGAATATCTTCTTCGATGGATAGAATAATTTTACAGGATCCAGTGGGACAACTTTCTTGAAAGCCTCCTCTAGGACATTCTGCAGACCTATAAAGATAGGAAATCTGCCACAGACCTTATTTACATAGATTTTCTTCTAATTCTTATTTTAAATAATAATGTTTATATCACATACGTTCCCGTTTGCAGCATGTCAAAAATAACCTACAAACGTATTGTGGATATACGATATTTCTTCAATGCATATTTTCGCTTTACACGTCTATATCAGGAGAGTAAAGAAGCATTAAGTATTTTACGGAAATTTACCGAGGATGTAATCAAAAAAAGACGTCTTGAAATTTCCAAACACTCCAAACCCAAGGATCAAACAGATGACCCTTTTGAAAACAACAAACCGAAGCTTGTCTTCTTGGATACCCTGTTGACAGCTCAACAGGATGGCAAACCCCTTACCAATGAAGATATACACGAAGAAGTAAACTCCATAATGTTTGGTGGTCATGATTCGACATCACTCACGTTGCTATTTCTTTACTATAATTTATCGCGAAATCCCCAGTGTCAGAAGAAATGCTATGAAGAAATTCTGGAGGTTATGGGTGATAAAGATGGTAACGTCAGTTACGAAAGCCTAAATAGTTTGAATTATATGGATAAATGTATCAAAGAGACATTGAGGATATTTCCAGCGGTGCCATTGATTGCTCGGCAAGCCAGGGAGGAATGTGAAATAAGTATGAGAACATTAGTTCAATTTCGAATGAATAATATGAATTTCAAAAAAATTTTTTTACAGATGGCAAGATGATTCCCTCAGGAGCCACAATTGTTATACCCAATCTTGTAATGGGTCGCCAGGAAGATATTTTCCCTAATGCATTGGAATTTAAACCGGAACGTTTTAATGTTGATGAAAATTCTCCAAAATTGCATCCTTATGCCAGTATACCATTTTCGGCAGGACCTCGCAATTGCCTGGGCTATAAATATGCAATGCTGGAAATGAAAACAATTTTGGTTAAATCTTTGCGCCACTTTGAATTTGAATGTCTTGGTGATAAAATTGAAAATATTCAAGTTATACCAGAATTAGTATTAAGACCAAGAGAAACTTTGAGATTTAAAATTAAACCGAGGGTCAAGAAAATTATCGATTAATAAAGGCAAAGCCAGACTTATAAACATGGTTTCTAGGTTATGGTACTGCAAAAAGAATAGCAAATTCGAAGTTTTGGAAAAACGGTTCTATATGGTTCCACATGGATATTTTTCGAAATTTGAAACAAGCTCCGCAACCTATGCAAAACATGGACCTATATCGAGATTTTAAAAAAAAAAAAACATGATTTTCATCATTCAAACATCGGTAATGCAAAATTGCAGCCACTTCGGTAGGAAAGTCGGCTAAAACTTTCAAACCACTGAAAATGGGAAAATCCTAGGCTACTAAAAAATCTTTGCGATAATAATAAATGGGCAATGCCTCATGCAGTTTTATTAAATTATCAATAAAATATAACAACCACAATCAACCCCCCTATCTGTGCCATGGTCAACATCTGAAGTACCAATCAAGTACTCGCACAATTGAAAACAGTAGGACATAGAAAACACGAAACCATTTCAGATGTTCCTTTATTGTGATTAGCAATCAATAGAATTTATTTTTTCCAATAAATTATTTTCGAAAACTAAAAATGCATTTCAAAATCGTCTGTCCAAAACGAATTGCATTAAGTCTTCTCTGTGGTGTGGTGCATTTTTATTGCCCACCCTCTGGACCATGTGCAGCTTGAGTGATTTTTTGTGTTTTATATGATGCTCATCAACCCCTATGCAATTTTATTTAATTTTTGTCACCATAAGTATTCGGGATTTCACAAAATTGCTAATCATTGGCAATAATAAAGATGATGGTAGTCAAGAGTATGCTGATGGTGGTGGCTGTAGTAATCATTTGCCACTTCTGGGTTTGGAGTGATAATTAAGCCTCTATTGTTTGTTGTGTTTTTTCTTTCTTTCCGGCTATTCATTCAAGTGTTAAAAATTACATTTTTATTACCGAGCAAATCAATATTGATGGCATTATTCTATGGCGAATTGCTACAGCTATTGTTAAAATCTTTGTTAGAGATTTTCATAACCTATGGTACTACCTTAAAGGGGCGGGGGTTTTTATACACCAAATAACTAAGGTCAATAACCACACTGATCTAAACATTTTATATTCATATACAAAATTTTAAAAATTGCTATAGGCGGAATGTTATTCGACAGAAACCCATTCACAGGTCCTTTTGGATATCTACCTACAGTAGACCCCCAGGATACTCCATGGAGAAAACCTTTTGAAAGAAACCTGTTGAAAGTCTATAGTCAGAAATCCTTTTAAAGGACTTCTATGTCCAGAATATTTTTTAATTTTTTAAACCGATAATAATTAAAAAAATTAATTTCGATTTCTGATTCAGTTCGAACCTACACTAAATCAAGAATGTCCTATAAAATATAAAATTTCAAATAAAAATCTCAACAACTCTTGAAGATATAGCCAACGTTTGTGTTAGCATAAAGTGACGCAAGATGGCTTCTCAAACTATTAATCCAATCGGTTTCAAATTTTAACACGCTATTCTGTACGTACATAGCTATCGTATGAACTAGGATAAATATAATGGGCCAAGATATTCCTTATTTTCCAACTGTGCATGTGTTCAAAATAGGGAATTTTAGCCATATTAAAATCTCCAAATTTTCAAATCTAGAATGCGGAGGTTTCTCTAAGAGGCTCCTATATTTCAAAAGTCTTTTATAAACAGAAGACTTTTTAAATGTGTTCCTTTCAAGAACTTCTACAGACTGTCAACTTTCAACTGGGCTTTTGGAAACATAAAATTGTCAAAGAAGCCTTTCCTAAGGCCATTGACAGAAGAACTTTCATACTTTTTCAATATTGGAGGATATTTCCAATTTTTGTCATTCTGTTTGTACCATTGTAAAATATTCGACGGAGATCCCATAGAGGGATATGTCGGTCCATTCACCCACACTCCCATTTTGTGTATTTTTAAGGATTTGGCCGTCTTTTCGGTTTCTGGGGTGCTGAAAATCATTCTGTAGGAAATTGTCCACATAGGCCCAATGCCCCATTCTATGCACAAAATTTTATTGTACACTGGTGGCCAAACTATACCATCTGAAATTGCAAACTGAATAAATTACCTGCAACTTTTTATTCCCCACCAAACTATGTTGTCAGGGTACCATTGTTTCGTGCAACCCCAAAATTTTATAACACCGGTCCTATATCCACACGGATATCAGAATAATGAACTGCAGAAAGTTAGATTTTCGTGGTAGTTGTGTTGGTATATGGCCCGACTATACCGCTCCGCTCACTGGTTTTATATTGGGTATAATCATTGAGTAGAAAATCTCCCTATCAAAAATGATCAATATTGCCCATAGTTTTCGTATAGCCCTCATATAATAGTACTTGCCGAATTCACTACAATTTTTTCAACAAAATCGCTTCTAATTTTATATTAGAGATTCTCATTAAGTAGAAAATTTCCTTGCTAAAAAAACAACATTTTCCCCGTTATTGTGTATTTTGGGGCAAAATATTGGCAGTTCTTTTATTTTTTCGATTTTTAGTGAACAGGAAATCTCATTACCAGAGATGTATAATATAGGCTTATGATTCTGGGTAGCCCTAATATAATAGTATCCTCATTATTCGGTAGTTTTGGGGCTTAGGCATAGTTCCCAACTGAATTAGCTCTTATTGAATTTTTCAAGTTCTCATGGGGTATAAAATCTTTAAAAAAAATTTTCAATATCGCGATACGTTTTGGTACAGCTCCAATATACGATACCAAACCGTATTTTGAAAGCCTTAGTAACATGCTCCCACCGATGAAGCTGTAATTTGGTATATATATATATATATAAAATGATCAATATAGATCCGTGTTTTTGTGTAGGCCACATATAAGGATAGCGCAAAATTTCCGTATTTTCAGGGTTTCGCAGAATTTTCCCATTGCTGTAATTTGACATTCCGGGATATTGTGGGGTAGAATACATGCTTGTGAATTTTTTTCGATATTATTAAGTTTTTAAAGGAATTTTTCTCACCGATGTAGCTATTTCTTGGCATTCCGATATGTTGAAATTAAATTATTTTCGCTAGGTTGAAATTTCTACCCAGTTTTCCAAGATGTGTGTTTGTACTTTATTTTGCAGAGCATGAGCAAGCTATTAAGAAATTTTTAATGGACACCACGTGGTATATAAAAAGTTCGGCCCGGTCGACGCTTTACTTTGAAATAACCCCCCTCCTAATTTAAAGTGTATTAACTACCCACCTCCTTGTAGAGTATAGAAAATATTCGACAAGACCGAATATAACTACATATTTAATTATCTTTCATAAATTCGCTCCAAATAAGTAATCTCGTTTGAATTTAGCTAAAGTGATAACGAGTTCCGTAAATCCATAAGCAACCACTACAACGTGCATTAGTGTTCCTCCATACACACATCATTGTTTGATGGGTGTTTGAGTGTATGTGGGGTATAAGCTACAAATAATATATTGTGATTATAATCCAACCATATGTACTGTTATTTTGGCCTCTGCACAATTGACATTTGCTCAATTCCACTATACTTCAAAAAGAACTCTTCCTAGACATCCTCCCTTTTGCTTATGTACGTATGTATAGAGTTCTGATTTGATTTTCACTACATATAAATGTAAGCAAGTGTGGTGTCGTTGTGGTGTTTATTAGTGTAACCATTGTTCACCACTGACTTTGATTTCACTGATTGAGATATTCCGATAAAGGTAATTGCGTTCATATGTCGTTTTTTTCTCTCCATCTCTACTCGTTATCCTTCCATACATATTCTTGTGCCTTTTTGTCCATGTGTGGTGGCGTCATCATATAATATTTATTATTTTGTAATAATAGCAATGTGACACGAGTTCAATATCAAGATTCGATTATTTTTCTAGCTTGCTTGCATATGACGATTAATCGTCATACGAATAGTTTTCAGTTCGAATTCAATTCGTCGAATGGTGGACGTCGATGGAAAGGCAATGTTGGGTATTGTTGGCTATATTTGGCATCTCTTGATTGGTTTCCTTTGTTTCAATAATTTTTATCATGATTCATTTTTGGTTATCGCGACAACAATTGTGGTTAATGTCCGTCGAGGGATTTCCTAATTGCATCACAAGAATTTCAGAGAGGGGGGACATATGTTTGAGACAGCCATTGATTTGTGGTGGATTTTTTGTTAGGGTCAAAAGCTAACGAGTTTTGGACTTATCTTAACACAGTGGGTGAGCAAGTGATTAATGTCTTAATTCACAGCATTGTTATCGTAATGTGAAATGCAGCTCCCGAAATACACATATCTAGGAACTGTATTAAATGTAGCTTGAAATTATATTCAAACTAAATAAAACATATCCTCAATAGAGGATATGTATAATATCGACATTCTATTGGTGAGGGAAATGTTTACATTATTTAATTAGAAATTCCTTAAGAAGGATATCTATGATATTGATCCATTGAGGGAAAATTTTTGGAAATTATATTGTCTTTTAAGTTTTGTATATGGGCCTATTGACCGTTTTTCATAACGAACACGCTTAACATCATTTCGTTGAATTCGAATCAGTTCAAATTATATATTTAGTTCCTACATTATGTGGCCAAACCATTGAATTATATATCGTAATATTGTACCTCCACCAAAAATTATAAATATAGGTTCTATATCCAGATTTTGGGGTTCTTGAGCGCGTTTTTCAACCGAATTCTCTGAAATTTGGTGCATTGGGTTCTTATTTGGTCCCAAATATCTAAACTAAAAATTATAAATATCGGTTTACTTTTTCTGGTAACCCGCATATAACGGTACACCCCAATTTTATTTTGGGGGTTTTGATCGCATTTTTTCATCGAATTGGCTGTTATTTAGTACTTTGAGTTCTTATTGAGTATCAAATCTCTCCATGAAAAAATAAAATTCATTTTTTCGGATAGCGCCCATATAAGGGTACCTCCAATTTTCGGTAGTTTGGGGTTCTTGAGCGCACTTTTCTACCAAATTCGCTGCAATTTGGTATTTTGTAG